TTTTAGCCAAAGCAATTATTTTAGTTCATCATTTTTATTGTTGGACATAGTAACTAACAAGCCAAACAAGAGGTTTAAAAATATAGTGGCTAGTGTTAATTAGTATTATTCAACTAATTTAAATGCATGAAAAAATCATTATAACATACACAAATGTGCAAAGAACTTTTCAAAAGCCCTTTCAGAACTGGTATGTATTCAATTAGTGCTTTGCACAAAATCTGTAAATATAGAAGTTAAAAAAAGGAAAATTTCATACATTTTCTTACGTGATTATCATAAAAGAATTTTTTTTTTTTTTACGAATTCAATTCCCAAAATCTAGGACAGAATTCTATGACAAAATGTTATTTCAGCAAATTTAAAATAATGAAGTATTACTTAGGTAACATCTTGGATCAACAATAATTAGTGCTACTCAAATTGGGAGCAAGCAACTGTTTGATCCGTATCAGTGATTTTTTTCTAATTTCACATTACACTAGATTCCATTCTAAGTCTACTTTAAAATGTCAAATGTGTTTTTACTGATAGAATATTGAGGGTTTTTTATTCATTCGTCAAGTGAATTGATGAAAACATATCAGGTATTTTTCTGGGCAATGGGGATTTATACAGCAATAAATAAAATAGGCAAGCACTTGTCCTGTTGGAGTTTATATTCCAGCCTTATTACAGTTCACAATGCATGTAACATTTTACCTTTGATTATAAATTTTAAACTTTGTTTAAATAGTAGTTGTGTTTTATTGCGGGAAATGCTCTGCTTTTATAAATGGATGTAATTATGTTTGAGTTAAAAGGATTCTAAACATTCAGGTCAAACGCCAGTGAATGAAGTGAACCCTTATGCCAGCCTCTCTGTGCTATGTGCCGTGACCGGGAGCTCGTCTGTTTTCTAGGGTTCAGTATTCCTTTCTGGGTTGACTCTCCTGCTAGATCTTTCCTCCCTATGTTGAGTTGAAGACTTCATCTCAGTAACTTCAACCTGTTTACCCAGGTTCTGTTTTCTAGAAAGATATACAAAATTAATAAAATTCTTCTCTTAAATAGTAGGTCAATTATTTTGGCACTACAACTGTGTCCCTCATTATTCAAGATTTTTTTAAAAATCTGCTCCTTAAAAGACAAAAGTGACTCACTTGAGTTTTACCTAAGTCCTATTAGTATTTTTAATGGGTGGAAGGAAGGAAGGAAGGGAGGGAAGGAGGGGAGGAGCAAGGGAGGGACGGAGGGAGAGAGAGAGAGAGAGAGAAAAGAAAAGGAAGGAAGGAAGGAAGGAGGGGGGAGGGAGGGAGGGGAGGAGGGGGGGAGGGGGGGGGGGAGGGGGGGAGGGGGGGAAGGGTAGAGGAAGGGAAG